TTTTTTTTAACGGTTTGAACTTTTTTTCCTGAACTGTTTGAATCTTTTACTGGTTGACCGGTTGGTCAACCGGCCGGACAACCGGTTGGTCGACCGATGTTAGGACAAACGATATTTCTGGTCTTGACAGCTGGATAGACTCCTACATGAGAAACAACGGCCATGTTTGCTCCGTGCATCAAACCATCATTTCCTTAAATTGCACAAGAATACCTCAGTATGAATGTGGATTGTGTTGTAAACTTGTAATCAAGGTTTTAAAAAGCGGCCGCAGTTACGTAACGGTTTTGGCGGTTACCGCCACCCGTTACGGCCTCTTTTGCAGTGTGATTGAGATTCACAGGTGTGTCGGCCGTAGCGGCTGCCGTAGCGGTTGTAACGGTGCCGTAACAGCCGTAATGGCTTGTTACGCACCGTTATGTAACGGTTCCGAACTGCTTCTTCCGAAAAAACACACAAAAAAAAGGCTAAAAATGGGAGAAGAGGGATAGAGAGAAGAGGGAAGATAAAGAGAGAAGATGGAGGACCAAGAAATAGAAAGAGAGAAGAGGGAAAATCAAGAACATATTATTGATTTGTTGAAGCTATAAGACCTATGCTATTTTATTCAACTGTTATCACTCAACTATTTTGTTTGTGTGTGTCAATCTATATATTGTTTGATAATAATAATAATAATAATAATAATAATAATAATAATAAGTGTGGTCATTAGCTATTTGGCTTGATTAATATATATATATATATATTTAGGCTTTTATTTATTCTCTTACTTTTGTTATTGTTTATCTTATATATAATAGTTAGTGATTGATTTTTTGTATAATATAAAGTCATTAATTATTAAAATAAAATGTAAAAAATTCAGTTTGTAATGATTTAAAAATATAAAATATATTGGATCAAACTAAAAAATTTATTAAAATTAATCAATATTTATTTTAAAATCCAATAAATATGATCATGGAAAAAAAATGTGCGTATCAGTAAGTCTTTTTTCAAATTGTGCAAAAAATAAAAAAATTCATGGTTCCGGTTACCGCAACCGTTACGCTACGGCCTTTACACCTCGCAACTGCAACCGCGCCACCGCCACCGTTACGGCGACCGCAACCGCTTTTCAGAACCTTGATTACACTATATCAATACCACCACATATGTATCAACTATTACATCAAAGCCATTGATCATACACTTACCATGTACTTTAACCCATTGTATCAAAACCTCTCTCGTTGCCTTTCTCTTTCTCTTTCTCTCTCACCCTCCTCATCATCTCCAACTCCTTCCACCGCTCTAACCTGACCTACTGCTCCTCTCACTCTCTCTCTATCTCTCTCTCTCTCTTAGGCCTCGTTTGGGAAGTTGGCTTCCTCCGTTTTCTTCAACTTTGCCACCCTTAACTTAGGTGCTCACGCTAAGCTTCGTCTTGGCGGTCCATGATAGCAAACGTCGGTGACCAGACGATTAGGATGAACAAACGGTGGGCTCAGGCCCCAAATCAATAAGTTGAAAATCTAGCAACGTCACCATTTTGAATACAATTCAAATTTTGGCGATAAAGCTTTAGAAGAGAGAGAGTGAGAGACAGAGACAGCGACAGAAACCGAGAGGGTTAGGGTTTGGAGTAGTCAATGAATCTATAAGATTGTTATATGGTGATCGACTAAATTTGACCGTCGATGTTGGACATATTTTTGAAACCCAATGAGTGGGTGAAGAAAATGAAACTAGTGGGTGGGAAGAGAAACACAATTGAGTAATTCGTTAGATTGTGGTTGGCCTAATGGATGACGATTGGGGCCTAGAGATTTACTCATTCTCAGGTTTTATATTCGAATCTCCGTAGTCAGCAAACCCATATTTTGGGGTCATGGACTGTAAGGCGTAA